AAAACAAGTCTCAATAAATTTAAGAAGATTGAAATAATACCAAGCATCTTTTCTGACCACAAAGGTATGAAACTACAAGAAGAAAACCAGAAAAGCCACAACATGTAGAGATTAAACAAAATGCTACTGAACAACGATTGGGTCAATGAAGAAATCAAAGGAGAAATCAAAAAATAACTGGAGACGTATGAAAATGAAAATATGACATGCCAAAGTTTATGGGATACAGCAAAAATGGTTATAAGAGGGAAGTTTACAGCAACCTAACAATTGCAAGAAGATATTTGCTAACCATATATCTGATAAGGATTTAATAGCCAACATAGATAAAGAACTCATACATCTCAACAACAAAAATACTAATAACCCAATTTAAAAAATGGGCAAAAGGTCTGAAAAGACATTTCTCCAAAGAAGATATACAGACGGCTAACAGGCACATAAAAGGATGTTCAACATCATTAGCTATCAGGGAAATGCAAATCAAAACTGCAATGAGACATCACCTCACTCCCATCAGAATGGCTGTAATTAACAAGACAAGAAACAACAAGTGTTGGAGAGGATGTAGAGAGAAAAGAACTCTAACACTCTGCAGGTGGGAGTGCAAACTGGTGCAGCCACTATGGAAAACAGTATGGAGATTATCCAAAAAATTAAGAATAGAACCACCATATGATCCAGCTATTCCTCTACTGGCTATCTATTTGAAGAACATGAAAACACAAATGCATAAAGAAACATGCACGCCTATGTTCATTGCAGCATTATTCACAATAGCCAAGGCTTAGAAGCAACCTATGTGCCCATCAAGGGACAAATGGATAAAGAAGATGTGATATTTATACACAATGGACTACTACTCAGCCATAATAAACAATGAAATCTGGCCATTTGTGACAACATGGATGGACGTTGAGGGTATTATGCTAAGCAAAATAAGTCAGAGAGAGAAAGTCAAATACCATATGATCTCACTCATATGTAGAAGATAAAAACAGCAACGAACAACCACACAGAGACAGAGATTAGATTGGTGGTTAGCAGAGGGGTAGGGAGCAGGGGTTGGGGGATGAAAGGGGTGATTAGGTACATGTGTGTGGCGATGGATTGTAATTAGTCTTTGGGTGGTGAACATGATGTAATCTAGACAAGAATCAAAATACAATGACGTACACCTGAAATTTATATAATGCTATAAGCCAATGTTTCTGCAATAAAAAACAAAGAATTTCATACTCTGGACATCCAACTCATGAATATGTACTGCTTATACATATAGTAAGGGATTGCAATAAATAACCAAATCGATCTAACTTTTTAAAAAAGTGACAAAGATTATTTTAGCTGGGAACTGCAAATATGGAAATTCCTAAATTTCAAGGTATAGAACAAGTTCTGAAATTCGAGGTGTCTCTGTGATCCCCCGCTATGTATTACGGAGGTTGAGCTGTTACACTTTTCAGACTATCACACTCAAGTCTTCACTTCCCACCTTGTGTTTGCATAGCAATTCTGTCTTAGTTGCCTGAAGTGCACGTCTCATTTTGGTAATCTACTTCAGTCTATTTCTGTGCACTGAAAGACATTCCAATTCAGTATTCCACACTTCAATATTAATTTGTCTTTTCAGCTATTTCAACAGAGAATGTGTGTCCTCTGCTACAACTTGGCTCAAATCCATCTGTCATTTTATTGACCTACTGGAAACAATGTCCAATGCATTCCAGCTCACAGATTGAGTTTGCTTTAGCCACACATGAAACCAGGACACTGTTCAGTGTCTATTTTTAAAAAGAATGTTCACAATGGCAGAGATTTTCCACATGAGAATGAATATACATCATAAAAACTAGCATATGGAACAACAAATAGGAGCTTTCAAAATTTCAAAGGTTAACCAGATCATTCAAAATTACAATCATAAGTGGATGATGTATGCATTTACTGTTGACTCAAGAACATTCTCCAGCATTTCCTTTAAATCCTGGTTTATAAAGAGCATTTTTCCCAATCGTTTTAAGAGAAGCACTGACTAATACCGGTAGATCATTTTGAAATAGAATATCTGTTTGCTATCAAGGATAAAACAAGCTACTATGGGGAGAGAGGAGCAAATTATTTCCCAATATAAAATTTTCCTTCAGTAAACACATTTATGAGACCAAGAGATGAGGGTGAAAGATTTTTTTTTTAATTTCCTTAAGGGCATGTGATCCTTAATGAAATTGTACACAGAAAAATCCAATGTAAGTATAATTTTAATCCCCCTTATCTGTGGTGCAGTCCATTGCATTATAAGAGAGGGTCGCTGTTATTTATTTTGCGATTTACATGGCCCCAAACAAATAGGAAACTGGCAGTCATTCCATAAATGTGAAGTGGGCAGCACTAGTGGGATTTTTCTTCAACCCCTAACCAGGAGGAACACAGTGCTGTATTTATCAAGTGCAGGGGTCTCCATCGACAGGCCAAACAGAAAAGCCCATGGGAATCAGGCCCAGCTCTTCATCCTCTATTTACGAATGCCTCTTTCTCTAGGCAAGAAGCAAATTGTTCAATAGGCCTCTCAGGGCTGCTCTCCTACAAAAGCTACCTGACTCCTTTTCTGTTACCCTAAGTCATGATTTTATTTAAAATGACGTTATTTGCTAGCTTCCAAATGAAAAAGTAATTCTCAAAGTGGATCTCTCCCAAGGACTTCTAAGAATAAAAGGTTCTCTACCTCTTCCCTCAAATGTTAATATGCATTTTGGAAAATAGCCATTTTGAAAATCCATTCTTCATAGACAGCTATATAGATTTTCAATTGCATTTCAATTTCAAATCAATTCCTGCATTTGCCAGAAACACTGGTCCTAAAAATGGATTCTTTCTTGTTGTTAATTCAGAGGCTTATGTATATATGTGTGAAACTTATAGTCATAGAATATTTAAAACATCAATTTTAAAAACTGAAAAGATTTAGATAATTGTGAAGGACATGAGGATAATTTAAGAGAAACACAAGGCAACCTTTTGACAACAATTATCTTTAGAAATGACTAGATTTCCAAACTTTAATTATTGGCAATAACTCATTTCTACAAAATTCAGACTTCTTTTCACGCACAAATTAGCTAGCAAATTTTTCCTGTCATATAGATTGCTAATCTGGGTTCAAGTCTTAGCTCTTCTACTTTCTAGCTGCCTGACCTCGTAAATCACAATCACTCAGAAACAGTAAAATGAGGATAAAATTATCTTCCTCTTAGGTTTTGAGGATTAAATCAGATAATGAGTAAGAACATGCTTTGTAAGCTATAAAGTGTTATTGAAAGATGAAGTATTACCAGTGCTTTTTGAAGTACAAACTGAGATATCATCACTCATATTTGATATATTGTAAAATGTCTCTCTCAATCCTTTTGTCTTTCTGAACTCCTCTCCCCTCTCTGAACTGGCAGGAAAACTTATTGTTTCTGCCAAATGAGTCTGGATGTGAACAGCCATTTATTTGAAGATGTGTGTCAACATTACTTGCAAAAGAAAAAAGTGCCAGTACATGGCATTACAAAAATCACTAGGCATTGTTATCACCTCAATATTTGATACAGAAAATATCAAGTCAAATGCATGAAAATGCCATTTTATTGTAGATCAGAAAAAGCAAAATGTTGGCAATTTCCTATGTTCAACCAATTATCTATGAAATAGGAATGAAAAGAGACTTCAACTCTACAGGACATATTTAAATGAAATTTAGGATTATTAATTGTTTTGAACACAAACACACACAACAACAAAAAAAACCCCACAAATGATCTTCATAAGCTGAAACATCAACCACTAGTAACATTTTGCTGTTTCCCCTCATTCAGTTGCTGTGTCTTCTTGTCTGAACTAGAATTTGGGTCCTTTTGACAATGAAGTTAGCTAACAAGTCACACAATTGCTGAAAGAGCCTTACTTAATAATATTGCACTGATCTATTATAAAGCTCTTAAATTTTAGTTTAATTTTCTGCTTATGAAAATAATCAATGTTCATTGGAAGAGATTTGAAAAATACATAAAAATGTAAAGAAGAAAAAAGAATTGAACCTCTGTTTCATCATCCAGTGACAGCGCATGCAAACTTCCTGGTATATTTCATTTCCAATTTTTTCTCTACATTTATTTTTGGGCATAGTTGAAATGAAATTGTACATACAATTTTGTACACTACCTTTTTATACTTGGAAATTTTTTCATTAACATTTTATGATGCTAATTCACTCTCGGTAAACATGATTTTTATAGAGAAGGTAATTTCTCATTATGTAGGTGTGTCATATCTTACTGAAATGTTCCACAACTGTTAGACATATAGAGTTGTATATCCAATATTTCAATGAACACCACAATACGTATTATTTTGCTCTGTTTCATATTTTTCCTTATGATGCAGTCTCAGAAATAAAATGAGTGAGTAAAAGAAAGGACTCTTTTTTTGATGTTCTTGATACATATTAGTAAGTGCTTTCCCTAATTTATACTCTTACCGACAGGGTTTTGAGAATACCTATTCAACATGAAATATTACCATCTCAAAGTGCTATTAAATGTTTCAGTTCTTGCTTGTGAGTGTCATCCTACAACCGTTCTCTGTACCGTAGATTGTTAAATATGAAGTTTGATTATTTTAGCTCCTCAGAAGAAAGCCTTCTTCCCCACTGGAGAAATTCATTTTAGTTTAAGGTTATTTGTGTTATTTTGATACATAAAAGATATTTTTACTTTGTCACTATAGTACCAATCAATTAAGAGCAAACATCTTTTCAATTTTCTGTGTGGTTATTTATTTTACTCAACAAATAGTTACTAAGCACCTACCCAGATCTTTGGTACCAGGTACTTGAACCTGGACATACAACAGTGGAAATTAGAGATAATAAACAAGGAAACAAATGAAAAAGTAATTTGAGAAAGAGAGTGCTAAGAAGGAAATAAATTTATTATATTATAGAGAGGACTGGAAGGGGTGCAACATTAGATGGGCTGGTCAGGGAAGGCTTCTCTGATGAGCTGACATTTGAGCAGGGACATGCATGGTAACAGTCTCTAGCCTTATGAAGCTCAGTAAGAACCACGTCCCTGAGGTTGGAACAAATGGACAAAATGAAGAGGAGAAGATGGCAGATTGCTTAATTTCTTGAAATGTGATGATCAAGAACACAGCTTGGAAGTTCAACGGACCGTAAGTTTGAGCCAAGACTGAACCGCAAAGGACACATTCCTACTTTCACAGGTGTGGGATGCTTTTCATGTTAATTATATGTGAATGAGAAAAGCCACATGCAAACAAAGTCGCCTGCAGCTGGACTAAGTAGCTACAGTATGAGGAGGAGCACGGGAGATGTTTGTGCAGTATAAAAATGATGAAATCCCAAGACGATGGTCTTAGGTTGTAAATGAATGAGATCTTCTGAATCTGGGAGATGGAGATCTTTTTGGTTCTTCTGCTAACATAGTTAAGGTCAATATAAAGAAAATGAATGTTTTCTAGAATCCACATTGGCTCACGTTTTTGGCCTAGTTGATTTTGCAGCAAAGGAGAAAACTTCAAAAGTAAGAGATGGTTAAGTTCATCTTTCTAATGGTTTTGGCGAATGTGTGTAGGTTTCTAGCAAAGATGGCAGCATGTTATACTGAATGACGGGCCTATTTACTATTGCCACTAAGAATACTCAAACTCAGCCAAAGGTTTTCAATAGACAGATGGCAGAGTCAAAATGAACAATAAATGTTTCATGACTATAGAAAAAGGGAGTTGAATTATATTATCTCTATGGCTCTCCCAACTAAAAATATATTTTTTCTCCTACTGTGGTAGCTTGTCTCCACAATGACCACCATCTATTCCTTCTCTCCCTGTCTGCCCATGCCATTGCTCCATTCAGAAGTAGAATCTATTCCTTCCCTCCTCTTGAACCTGGGCAAGCCTGAGTGATTTGTTTGGTCAATAGAGTGGGATGGAAGTAACGTTCTGGAACAGCTGAGTCCCGGTCATAAGAAGCCAGGCCATCTCTCTCTGAGCCTTCTGGAACCATCACTCTAGGGAAAGTAAGCTACCAATCAGGAGTCTGATTACCCTGAGACCACCATGCTGTAGGAAGCCCAAGTCACATGGAAAGGCCCTGGAAGAAGACATGCTATGTGGAGAGAGAGAAAAAGAGAGCGGCCAAGGAGGACTGAGGCACCAGACGTGTAAGTGATGACGCCTTTTTGGAAGTAGGTCCTCCAGCTGCTGTGCCAGCTGATGCCACTGCCTCAAGGATGAACCACTCAGTTGAGCCCTTCCAAAATTCCTCACCCAGAAAATCATAATCAAAATAAAATGATTGTTTTTTTCAGCTACTAAGTTTAGAGGTAGTTTATTACCCTGCAATAGCGAACCAGATCACCTAAATTGTGGAGTAGCTACTAAGATCATAGAAACTTTGAAGTAGATAAGGCGTACCTTTCTAAAAGCAAATTTAACCTAAAAATAATGTTCAGCCATGTCACATCTACTTCCCCGGCAGTTTTGTTAGATAACTATATAAATGCATTGGAGTCTTTTATTTCGGTCAACAAACATGGGTGCCTAATAGTTGACCGAGAGCACTCCTTGTTCTTAAGGGGCAGTAGCAGAGACCTTAATAAGTACCATAATAGAGGTAAACACCTTGGGGAATTTAGGAAAATTTCACAAAATATGTGACACATGCTGATGATCTTAAAGAATTTTTTTAAAGAAAACAGTTTTATTTTGTGAAAAAATACATTATGTTCTGGATCATTTAATTACTCCTTCTCCCTATTCACTATTGCAGAGAGCTTAAATTAATAAGAATTAGAAAAAGGTAGTATATTTTGTTTAAATAATTATCTTTAAAATATTGCCTTCCTGGGACGGAGGTGAATTATTTCAAAGAAATATCATCTTTCAATTTCTTCTCCTGAGACATTTCCAAAGTGCAAATAAAAGAACTGAGAAGAATACTGAACAATATAAAGACGATATAGTATTAAATATCCTGCTAATAGTGAATCATATGATTCAATTCAACAGAGAAGGCTCCACTAAGTCTGTAATAAAAAAAGTAATGAGGTTTTATAACAAAACTGAAAAGCCCTCTCTAAAATCCAGAAAGAAATCTTTTCAGTACAAAGACAAGAATAATGTGCAATTGAACATTGACAATGTGCACAAGTGTGAAAACCATGACTGATGAACTTTAAACATGCAACAATCTCTTTTGTTAAATGCATTAATCAAAATACACAGTAGTGTAAGAGCTGCATTTCATCCTTTTGCCTCTTCACACTTGCAGTGAAACAAGAGCAGAGAGAGGAAAAGAAAGCGCAGCCCAGTAGAAACACACACCCTCCCAGGCTTGCATGGGAAGCAATAGCATCTTCCAGCTTCAAAGGACCTGAAAGAACAGAACTCACCTTCCTCATTTTACAGTTGAGGAGGCAAGATGCCCAACAAGAGTTAGCTGCTCAAGGACACAGAGCAAGTTTATATAAGAAATAAAATCAGAATCCAGATTATTCTGACTCCAGACTAACAACCACGTTTCTTCCCCCATGATTACTTAAATTCTTCAGGTTAATTATTTTTATTATTATTTTTATTTGTGTTTCTAATAATGCATATTCAAAGAATAATATTTGGATTTATTTTAGATAATTTAGTCAAAACTTAATTGGCTATTCGTTAAGAAGAGGAAAAGAAAAGCCAAGACCAAGGTTTGTCAGGAATAACGATAGAATATCTTATGTTATCAAATACCAGGGCATTGCTTGTTTTTGCTCCTTTTGTGTTCTTCCTAAAAATAAATAAAATCCTAATGCACTCCCGCTTTTTGTCAGGCCCTGTGTTAGATGTTAAAGGAAATTATAAAACATGAATAAAATATAATCCCTGCCCCCAAGAAGAACAAAGTCTAGTTTATAACTTTTCTTTAAATATAAATTATTCCCAAATAAAACATTTAAAATAAAGCAAAGAGGGTTTGATTTCATCGATTGTCTCATTTGACCTACTCAAAAGAGACAGCAGGTATTTCTTGCCTGAAAAAATAAATCTTTTGAATGCCCTAGGTGTAAAGCCACGGACGTGGTTTGTCATGAACCTACACAGCAGCAGTTTAATGCAGGTTGAATTAAATCAAAATCCATCTTTTGGTGGAACCAGCTCTTGCAGAATATATAGTTATCTTTTTGTAGTAAGACACCCAAAAACCCCCTTTCTTCCCATTCTAGTGCAGCCTGCCATCCCAATGTGAATTAGTTTTGGGTTACAAAGTCCTTTGGATTTAAAGGTCAATTAGTTTGGTTCCACTTTAATTAGAAGCCATCATAATAGTGCTGTGCGAGTAATTTATAGAGGCATAAATATTGACATCAATTTTTGTCAGATATTCTGATATCATAAACATCATGTAAATCCAGGCACTAGCAATCAATTTGCACATAATAGACTAATTTTATTAGAACTGTATGGCTGCACTATTTGGTTTTTAGAGTCCCTCTCCTCTTGCTACATTAAATCATCGTTTTAAATCATGTCATAGTGTTCCTCACAGCAGGCAATCAAAAACAGAAAATTTAAGTTTATTGGATCTTTGCCTAATTTAATGATTTTTCTCCAGAGTTGTGCTCTCTCTGGGCCCTGCAGTGAAGTTTTGGCCTGGTGCCTAGAAACACCTCCATGTTACTCAGAACAAGGCGAGGTGCAAACCAAACCAATGGCACGGAAGGTCCCTTGCTGCTTCTAGAATCTGGTGAGACTTCTATTAAAACTGTTTCTGTTCAGTTAGGTAGTTTGGTGGGGAAGCTCTCCGCTTGCTGCTCAAACTGAAAGGGGTGACCAACAGTCACTGAACGACAGACCTCAAGGGTGCCTCTAGTCAGATGCTTTTCAAACCATGATCCATTGATATATTGGCAGAGGTTCTTGAATTTCCCATGAAAATGTTTTGAATTTTTTCCTCAAAATTAATTTTCTTATTTACTATCTCTGTTGTTTATAATCTGTTTCTCCCTTCTAGAATGTAAGCTTCCTTAAGGCTATGATCTTGTCTATCCTTGGATATATCCCAAATGCCTTGAACAGCTCCAGCACAAATAAGTAGTAATTTGTTAAATGGAGCAATTAAGATAAGCAAATTGTGAGTCAATTGGATGACCACCATATAATGGAGAGCAGTCCCAGGATTTCAGCACCAGCATCTGGGCTTATATTTATAAACATACTGTGCCAAGAAATCAAGTTTAAGGCATTATTCCTCAAACTGGGGTCCATGGGGTTCTGGCGTCTATGGAAATGTTCAAAGAGGTCTATAAATTATCAAGATGGAGAAACACTGGTCAAGCCCAACTTCTTTACTTTACAGATGAGGAAACTGAGGCCCAAAGAAGGGATGCAGCTTTCTCAAGTTCACTCAGTTAGTGGTGGAGCCAGAAGTAGCATCCAGTTCTCTTAATTTCTGGCTGTGGGCTTTCCCCATTCTATCACACTAATAGCTCCTTTGGACTTCTTGATCTTCCATTCAGAAAGTTCTAACTGTGGAATCTAAAACCAGAACCAATCATTTGAGTAAGAAAAGAAAAGCATTTCAACATCATGGTTGTTCTTTTTCTCACTTGGCTGTATGTTATTATTTTATGATGTTAACTTTAAATATATTTAAACCTTGAAGTATTTCTAATTTGAACGTTTACTATCTTTGTTGCTTCTTAGTCTATTTTATCTTTTCTAGTTTATGAATGATCTGAAGACATGAACCATATTTTTACCATGTTATTTATTACCTACCTTCCAATGGGTTCTCACGTAGAATACAATGAAAATGTACAAGAAACAGATTCTTGATATTAAGAACATCAAACCAAGCTGGACTTACGTCTTCTCCCCAAACTGGGAAGAACTCTTAAAAGCTAAGGATCAATCACATCATTCACTAAATAATTGATTTTTCTGCCTTTCTTTCAAACCTTCACTTGACTCAGAAAATTGCCTCTTCCACATGTAAGACCAGTCTTGGAATACATATCATACCACTTTCCTAAAGAGAAATAGCCCAGTGTGGTACAACTGGGTTGAACAAAAACATTGTCTCTGAATGTTAGCAGTGTCTTCTTCAGTCGTCCTTTTTTCTGTTTTGTCATGTCAGTTAATAAAATCCACACACTATCACTCATTCAAAATTATAAAATATGATTTAAGGTAATCATTGGGATGATTTTTTCAAGATTTTGTAAATCTTCCAGCCAGGGACAGTGCTCCATTAGGAGATCTGTGGACCATTTTTCACAGCAAAGTAGAGTCATTGAGTTAGAGCTGGAAAACATTAAGATCACTTGATCCAACCCAGTCAATAAAGAAACTGAGGCCCAGCAAAGGGAAATGATTTGCCCAAGGACAATCAGCTAGCCAGTGTGGGACTGGACTGTGACAAACACTTCCAAACTCCCATTTCAATATTTCTCTTGTTTTGATAACATACAGTTAATTTATATTCAACAAATATCTCCATAGTGTTTATCGCAGTGCTTATGGAAAGTTCCTGATACAGAACCTAATGTGTTTCAGGAGTTGAAAATTCAGCCACTTTAGGTCCAAGGTCTCCTGTAGGGCATGTATAGCTTTGCCCCAAGCTCTCTCTGATGATATGCCAATCAGCACTCTTCCTGAAGGTATTAACCATCCGTTTATTGTGTTGAAAAAAACCTTACTTTATATTTCACTAGGTCATTATCATATTTTTAAAAAAGATGATGCATTTACCAAAAATAAGGTTCGGAGGCACAAGATTTCACTGTCTTTGGTAGATTTTCCATCTCAAGAAATAGCCAGCCATATTTTCTTATCTCTGCTGATTGCATTGACCTGGACCTGTTGACTCATCACTGAGCCAGTCAGTTTCTTGGCACAGCCATTGCTCTTAGTTACACATTCTGGTCCTTATGGTGGGGATGAGATGGTGAGGGAGGCAGTGAGTATCTTATTTATGACAAGAAAGACTACAAAAGTGTGGTGATGGAAATTTGAGGCATCATAAGTATGTTCCACATTCTACATAAAATAATGAGGTTAACAGAAAGATGACTATGACAAAGACCATGCCTTCCTGGAGTTTACAATCTAGGCATATATACAAATTGTGGTAGAAAGGACAAGAGAGCAGCAAAGAATTTCAGGAGATTAGAGGAAGAGTAGACTTATAATAGGAGGTGGGAAAGGGTGGGAATCAGGGATGTTTTGGAGTCCAAGGCCACATCTAGAGGCCATCAAAAACTGTGTTGATTTGGGTGTATATCAGTTGTTTCTGCCTCCACCTGGCAGGAGCAGAGCAGTTGGGGTGTATGAGCAGCAAGTCTGCAGAATTAGATAAATCATTTGGTGTTTGATTGCTTGCTTCGTGATCAATGTGGAAATGGTGGCTGGAGGCAATATTATAGACTCAGCCTCAAAGTCCAAGTTGTAAATAGGCTCTTCAAAGCTCTTGTGGAAAGTGGGCCTCCAAAGCAAAGGAAGGTCTTTGTAAGTCCTTACTTTCAAAGGGGAAACGGGCCACACATTGGTCTTTGTGGTCGCACTCACAATTAGTGCAAATAGTATCAATTTCTAAGTGATAAAAGTCAAACACAGACTAACAAATATGAAAAAAGTGAAGCAGATTTGTATATTCAGAGTTGTATACTCTTTACCTTACACATTTAATTTCTACATGCTGTCAAGTGCACTCCCAAGTCTTTCTTCATCTACTCCTCGATATCCACACCAACTCCATAATAATTCTAGTCATTCTTCACATTGCAGCCATATAGAACTTAATGCACAGATCTGAACTTCTAATTCTCTTGCTTAAGGAACATCTGGCCTTGCTTGACATCCTGCAGTGGGTTCTTATTGCCCATCAAATGAGCTCCAACTTCCTGAACCTGGTATTTGAACATTTTCTTTTCCCTAAATTCCTTTCCCTTCACCGTAAATACACCCAAACTCTAACCATGGTTTCCTTAATATGTCATGCTAGTTTATGTACCCATACCTTTGTAAATGTTGTTCCCTATCTTTAGAATTCCCTTCCCTTGTGTCTTCCCAGAGAATGTCTAATCATTCAAAACTCTTCTCAATTATCATTGTCTCCATGAAGCAATTCACCATACAGACCTATAGCTCTGCTCGTGATGACTATTCATTATTTGCACGTACCTGTGGTAGTATGCATCTCTTTTCACTGTAATATCTTGTTTGGATGCCTCACTGTGACTTCCTTGAGTGTAGAGACTCTCTTTTTCATCTTTGCATATCACAGCACTCATCAGTTTGCAGAATGAATAAAAGTCAAGCATTTGTTACATTAGTTAAGACTTTATGCTTTGACTTCATATTTGATTTTTTTAAACAAAAGGTTGACTGAAAGGCTAGCCCAGTGGCATAGTGGTTAAGTTCACATGTTCCACTTCAATGGCCTGGGGTTCACGGGTTCAGATCCTGGGCGTGGATCTGCACACCGATCATCCAGCCATGCTGTGGCAGCATCCCACATACGAAAGAGAGGAAGATTGGAACAGACGTTAGCTCAGGGACAATCTTCCTCAAGCAAAAAGAGAAAGATTGGCAACAGATATTAGCTCAGGGCCAATCTTCCTCACTGAAAAAAAAAAGGTTGACTGAGCTGGGACCCCTATATAGTAAACAAAATTCAAGAATGCTGGTGAGAAACCAAATCATTTTTATACTGGGATGATCACTGATGACCTTAAGCACAGTTGAACATTTTATTCTAAAACAAGTGATTGATCTTGATAACAGCAGGGCAAGTCAAAGGACAAAGTCCATTGCTAGCTCCCTGAGAGCAGGAACTATTTTCCAGTTCTTTCTTATCACATGCAGCACCTTGTAAAGTGCGAGACACATAGCAAACCCTCAAGATGCTGTGAAAGAATGAATACTGTTATGAACATGTGGATGAAACTCTCGTATAAACTTGCTACTCATTGTCCCTTGCCTCAGACTGTGACTTGAGCTAGCTAATGTAAAAATTAGTCAGCAACATTGATCAATCTCAGCATTAGCTACTATGATTACCTATCGAGAAGTTTCTCATTATCTTAGCATCATAAATCTTATATATTTAAGATCTATCTGTATTAAATATCTGGGATATTTTTAACCTATTTTTCTCCATGTAATTTTGAATCCTAGTCAGTTATCTGAGTAAGCATTTTGAGGTCAAGGCTGCCAGAGTGAGCACTTCCGCATTTGCCTTTACAACCCCAGCACACAGTAGTTCCTCCACAAATGTTTGCTGAAATGAAATAGCTAACCTGCAGAATTTAGTACAGTACTCACATACAGATGCTCACAAACATATAGCATTATGAAAAACAGAGAAAGAATATTTACCTGAAATAGGAATCATTTAAACTAAGCACAAAGGATAAAGTTGTGCATTTTAAAGATTTAGGCGGCCAAGTGGAATAGTGGAAGAAGCAGGAGTTAGGGGATCAGCCGGACCAGAATTCGATTTCTAGCTCTAACTTACCTGCTCAGTGACCTTGGATAAAGGTTTGTGCCTCAGTTTCCTCCCCGGCCACACTGGGTTAATACCATCTTTTTAACAGACTATGGTCAAAATTAAGTGAGCTCATATATCTGAAAGCACCACCACGGCTGGCACAGACCAAACTCTTTGATGGGTTGTTGTGGTTGCCCTTAATCGGCCTTGATGGCTGCCTGTGCCTTTCTTCACCCCTTCTGCAGTAGTTGTTGCTATTAATAATGTGCTGCTAGAAAACCACGACCTTTTGAGCAGTGTTTCTCAAACTTTAGTATACAACAGAATCACCTGGAGAGACTGTCAAAACACAGATTCCTAGACTCCACCTCCAGAGCTTCTGACTGGGTAGGTCTGGGGAGGGCCCAATAATTTGCATTTCTAACAAGTTCCCAGACGCTGCTGCTGCTGATCCCAGACCATACTTAGAGAACGACTACTTTTGAGTAATTGCTTCTGCTATAAGGAGAATTATGGCAGGAAAAAAAAAAAAAAGACGTTTATGGGTTCTTGAGTGTGGATATCTCTGAGGGTCTCCTAGGGCTTGCATATACAGTAAGGGAATCCTCTCACTTGCCATCCCTACGTCTGGAGAGACAAATCATTTCAGGTTTTCCAGTGGTTCTCAATGGGAAAACCCAGAGCAACCGCCAGACGGGCTGAGAGGCAATGACAAGGTAAAGGGCAAAAGCTAGGAATTCTCAAATGTTCCAACCATCTGAGTGCTGCCATTTTCAAAAGCTCTCTTTTACTGACACTATTCAAAAAGGATGAATTACTCTGGAGATTACATGTACTGAATATGTACTCATTCCCAATATTGTGCAACTTCATAAGCAACGTACATGCGGTAGCTGAATTAAAGAGAATCATGTGTACTTTCTGGCCTAGGGGAACTTAGAATTAGGGAGGCTGGCAAGAATGTAAAGAAAAAAAATTGATCTAACATCAGTGCTGTAATAGAAATGAAAAGGTAAAAGGAGATATGGAAACACATGACGGAAAGACTAATAATAAATAGCCAATGCATTTGTGATGCTTACTTTAAGTGAGGCACTGTTCTATTAATTCATTTAATCCTCACAACAGCAGATGAGGTAAGCAGTATGACTAGTCCTATTTTGTTTATGAGGAAATTAAGAAACAAAATCGTTAAATGAGTTGCTCAAGGTCACACAGCTAAAATGTAGCCAAGGCAGGATTTGAACCTAGGCAATCCTGCTCAACACCTTTGCTCTTAACCACTACACTAGCTGGTGCATCACCTAAGGAAACAAAATTAAGAAAGATGGATGGAGATAAAAGATGGCTTATGAGAATGGTTCAAGTTATCAACTAGAAATCCACCTCTCTTCCTTCTTGTATCCCTGAGTTCATCTCAGTACCGAACTCCTTCTGCTCTGGGAGTCAAATAGGTAGAACCATTACTGCATTTTCATGTCCTAAATTAGGATAATCCAAAGAGCTATGCTGATTATGTGCACTAACTTCTGCTATACTGCTCTATTTTCCTAAACATCCCACAGCCGAGAGAAAGAGAGTCTCATAATAAATTATGTCTCAATCCTGTGCATTAGTGCTGGCCACTGTCCCACAAACAATGTCAAAATTGTAAGCAATTGGCACAGAGTCATTGTGACAATATGTAAATTACTTGTAAAGTGAACTTGATCTTGTGTAATAAATGCTATTTGAATCTTAATTTGTTAACAATATTTTAATGCAGTAATTGAGGTCATGGAAGATGTGGACTAAAGATGAAACCATTTTTAACTGTCAACTTCAAGCAAGACTGCATTACCCAGGTTTATAAAATACTCCAAGGAATTAAAAAGCAAATGCAGTGCTTATATTTGCTATGAATGGGCACGGAAACATAACTGTAGAAAGAGACATAATGTACTACAGGACCAGAAGAGGGGTTTGGAAGAGGTGATCAAAGGTTTTTTCTGACTTTAAAATTCCTTGGTTCTAGGATCACTGTCCCCTGAACTACCCAGGTCTTTCCTTAATCAAATAGAGAAATATTTCACTAAATTACCTGACTTCAGCTTAATTCTTAATAATTTGGGGCACTTCTTCAACTCCATGCTTTCATAATTAATCATCACGCCTCCTTTGTCTTCTCAAAGAAAACCCTTCACCAATTGCCCTCCCAATCTTCTTTCTCTTTTCAGTCCAGCTATCGCATCAAAATCATGTTCAGCATCTGTGAAATTGACCCTCAACTGTGAAATCATATTTTAATGATAAAGTGCCAAAAGTGTTCTGCAAGTATAAGGTACTAATTGAGTGTTATAATTATTATCATGCAGCTACTTCCCGTAGTGATGACTTGTTCTCCTCCATCTCTCCTTCATCTGCTCTGTTTTATCATCTGTCATTTTGAGGGTTTAAAGCCTCCTTTCTGAAACCTGAAACTCTGGCATTCTGTCTTCCACCTGGTTCTGCCCTCTGTGAACTGGGCTGACCTTTCTCCAAACCAGCATACACTGTAGAGAGAAAGACTGGCTTGGCTTTGATAGGAGACAACGATCCTCCCACCTCATGTAGCCAAGCAAAACCCATGTTGACTCACTCCTACTTACTCCACTTAGTCAACTTCTGGAGCAGGAAGGTCTCCCGAAGGAAGCCACTCATCAGCAAACACCTGAAAACAAACCTCCTTTATGTTATGCCCTTTGCTGGGAAACCTAAGATGCTGTTCTCTCTTTATCACATCAGGTCATGAGTCCTCATTCAAGGCCTGTGGTCTTGTTGAATATAAGCCATCCAATAACTATTTTCTCACTTCTGGCTTCTCCACTCAGGTGTGTGTCCGTGATCCCACTCTTCTCTGCACCTCTGCCTGCTCTCCCAAATGAAGACTGCCCATCCGGCTCATCACCTTGGTCCTACCTAGCTTTCCAGGCCAAGTTCAAATTCTTCCTTTGCAATGGAACTGAGGACCACCTCATTGGTCCCATATATCTCTTCTCTTCTTGATCCAAATCCCTGCTCAAAAGGTATTTCTTCTAGAATTGGTTCCTCCCTCTTCTGGGCTTTCAAAGCACTTTGCTTATAATTCTGTAAAAACATCTACCACATTGCATTGCAAATGTTGTTTATATGTCTCTGACTTTGTTGTATATTCATCATAGCAGAATCTGTATTTTATTCATTTTTATAATTTGAAAAGACAATAAAACCTGATCTTATAATAGATACTCAATAAACAATTGAGTAAAATAATAAATTATTCCCCAAAGCTCTATGTGTGTGTGTGTATATATATATACACACACACACATATATATATATATATATAAAATTTGTGTACATGACTCCTACTATGCAAATGCAAGAGTTTATTTTGCAAATATAACTAAAAGTGGAATTTCTGGGTCATAGGGTATATAGAGATCTCTTTTCGGAGATAATACCAAACTACTTTCCAAAGTGGTTGCGCCATATGTTACTCCCAGCAGCACTGGATAAGCATTTCTGTAGATCCATTTCCTCTCCAACACTTAGTATTTTTAGGCATGTTAATATTTTGCAAACTTAATGAGTATAAAGTGGTACCTCATTGTGGATTTAATTTTCATTTCCCTGATTATATATAATGTTGAACTTCTCTTCATATGTTTGTGTATACCTTTCTACATTTTTCTATGATTCATTTTGCTTATTGATTTGTATGTTTCTTTACATATTCTTTGTACCAGTCTCTTGTCAGTTATATACCTTAGAAATATTTTCTCCCCATTTGTAATTCGTCTTTTTATTTTTCCTAAGGTTCGCTTATTAAGATGTTAATTTTAATGTGGTCAAATTTATAACTATTTTGTTTTATATTTAGCATCTTTTGTGCTTTGCTTAAAAAAGCCTTTCCCTACCCAGTTTAAAAAGCTGTAAGATTCAGACTCAGAAAACCTGGGTTTGTAGCCATATTCTACCATTTATTTTCTGTGGGATCCTGGTCAAGTTATTTAATTTCCGTGGCCCTCTAATTCTTTCTTTTATAAACAGGGAACATTATGGTACCTATATATAGACTTGTCATGAGGATTAAATGTGAACATGTGATTTATAGGTAAAGTGTTACATGTATGCTAATTGTGATAATGGTTAAGATTAATTTTTGTTCAAGTGGGATGGCCTGGAATTTCCAAAATGAAAAGAATATCAGAACAGGATTCAGACAACCAGAGTTCTAAACCCATTCTGCCATGACTTTTCTGAATATCTTGAGACACAACTTTTTTTCTTTTTTTTTTTTTTTCAGGAAGATTAGCCCTGAGCTAACATCCATGCCCATCTTCCTCTATCTTATATGTGGCATGCTGCCACAGCATGGCTTGATAAGTGGTGTGTAGGTCCATGCCCAGGATCTGGGCTGGCAAACCCTGGGCCACTGAAGTGGAACACTCAAACTTAACCACCACGCCACCCGGCTGGCCCCCTTCGGACACAACTTTTAACCTTCATCAGCCTCAAGTGACCACCTGTAAAACGGCTACAAGGTCTGACTGTCTATGAGGCTGTGAGCACTTGGTGATGTTTAATAAACAGGGCCTGGACTAGGGCAAGGTAAGTGAGCCACTCATCCTGAGTGCAAAATTTAAGGGAACACCAGGAAAAAACTCATAATCAGGGTAAATAATATTTTAATATGATATTTTTAGAAATCAAAATTAGCATGAAATTTCTTGATGAACCAGATACCAGATTCTTAGAAAAGATGGGATTTTATTTTCAGGAGGGGTATTTGTTTTCTGCATGTGAGAAATTATTACTTACACAATTATTTATTACAGAATGGCCAGAGGCAGAACCAGAAACGTAGGGAGAAGGTTTTCCTTTGCAGCTTTCTGAGAGCCCTTACAAGCACTTGATCTTTGTTCCCTTCAGCAACAATGGATGGTGAGTGGTCGCTGCTCAGCTGGCAGGTGATGGTGTTTCGAAAGCTTTCGAAGCCTGTTTCCAGCTGATTGGCTATTCTCACTCTTGGTGTGTTGCTCTGTCTTTATCACAGCTGACTGATCTCAGCTGGCCGCCTTCTTTGGCCCTGTACCTCTTCCCTCCCGAAGCCGATGCTAATAGCAAAGGTGTCACTTTCCCTGTGACTATTGAAACCTTCCTCTGCCTAAGGAACAGCGAGGCCAGGAAAGGGGCTTTCTCGTAAACACAGAGCGCTTCCAGCACGTGGCAAATAATAAACTAAAACTCAGCCAGCAGGTAACAGGATTGGCTGGTGACAGGATTGGTGACAGGGGTGGTTTAGGGGCTGGGGAGTGTTTTAAAATCTTATAAACACTGCACATCTTCCAGCTCTACATACTTGGAATGCCCCCAATGAGTAATGAGCTGAATATGATTTCTTGGCTTGGAAGCACCTCAGGATGAGATTTACCGAAGAGGCAGAAGAGACTCTCAGATCTTTAACGCACATTCAGGGGTATGATGGAGGAGGATAGATGTACTGTATATAACAGTCGAACATACCCTCTGTTTTACTGTTGTGAATATTGACTTCCAAATGGATTTAATCAAAATCAATAACAAAATGTACAGTAATGAAGTAATGTAAAATGCAGTAATGTATAGGCCAAGAGGTTGAATATGGAATATATTAACAGAAAAGCAGCTTTACAAGAATAACTCATCCCTCTTTTAGAATCTTTCTTCACCTAATATAAGACAATAAGGAGCAGAGGCAAAGCTCTAGAGCTGGGCCACAAAATGGGTCCTTTACAGAACTTTAAAAAATTATCTTAGTAAATTTAGCAAGACAGGATTGGACTACAGCTGAAAAGACAAAATAACGAAATCTGTTTACAAGATGAGAAGGATGACCTACGGGTGGATGGTCAAACACTGTCCTTTCAGAGTGGCTTATAAAGGGAAATAAAATGACTGATTTTTAACAATATCATAATGATTTTCTAAAAGTTAAATGATTTCAAAATGCTTTACATATACCTTTGGAGCATACGCATGCATCCTAAAGTTAAATGGCAAAGGCCACAATTGTTAAGAATTGTCTGCTTATTAAATTTATTTTCTACAAGGTAAAAGAAGGAAATGCATCATCTGGAATTGACCAGAAAGGTCCAAGGTGATTTTTGAATAATCAATATTTCCCCATATATGCTACAGCTTTAAAATAGAGAAAAATAATTAATACTGGCATTCACTAGAAATTTGTGTTGTTGTTTTTTAAGGAAGCTTAATGATTTGCTGGTAAAGATAAACTATAATACAAAGATTTCAAAGAGTATTTTACCGAGAAGGAACAGAATTCCCATTTTATAGAATATCAAACTGAAGACTCAGGATATTAAGAGGTCTCACCATAAGTCACTGGATGAACTCTTTCACTCATTTATCATTTCTATTTCTTTCTTTACAACTTCAATTTACTTTTCCTTTCTTGTATTTAGCTGTTACTCCTATCAATTAACCTCTGTGTTACCATCTGAATTCCCTCATTTCCTTCCTCCTCTGTTTTCCATTTCTTCTTCATCTTCATCCTTATACCCTAGAGAAGCTTTAAAGGAGGAAAGAATAAAGGCAATAAAGAGGGGAAATAACCTACTTTTAATCATGAGTAGAATAACTAATTTAAGGCAAGAGGTACCATCTTTTGAATACCTCCTCTTAAAAATGAATGAAAGGATCAGAAAGAGGATAGAAGGAAGGGAGGGAGGCAGGGAGAGAAGACATTAAAGAAGGAGAGGGAAATAAATGAATTACCAACATTTGCTAGCACAGTCCTGCAATGATTAATGTGAACTTCCACATGCAATTTCTGTGTAATGCCTGAGAATTATTGGAGACAACCACCGACATACACAAACATTATTAGAATCTGAGCTGCAGTAGCTGCTGCAAGAGTGGAATGGCTCAGAATTCAGAAATCAGGCACAGACCATCTAGGGTCTAGTGGCACTTCCTCCTCGTCCTCAGGGGACTCCACCATGACTGGAGTAATAGAAGTCAAAACTTCAATCAGGCCCTTATTAGTTACTATGCACACAGAATCAAGGTACGATTGTTGGTGGCAAACGAGAGCTATTGCAACTTAGAATCGACAATGCTTTTTTTAAAAGCTATCTTTGACTGCTCAATATAAGGTTAGGATCAGGTCATGTACCAGGTTTTTTACCAAATTAATGCTATCAGGGGAATTACACTTGAATGGAATTCTTTCTATCTAAACAATTCCATCTAGTTTCATCACTACTTTTTCTCTCCATCCCTACCCACATAAAACAATTCAGACGCGTAGACATCTAGAATAATATATAAAGAATCAAGTTATCAAACAAACCAAGATTTATCACCAGGCCTTATGCCCTCTCTCTAAGTCACCCAGGAAACAAAAGTCTCAAATAGCCAGTAATTTTTTTGACAGGTTTAAAATAATCTTTGACATTCTGCTTCTTGGCTCACAATCTTCATTCAAATAACCAAAAATAAAATTAAAAGAGACTCTTCCATTTGAGAATCATTTCCTTCATCTATTTTTCATTTAAACAGTACATTGGAGTATTTAAGAGAAGGCTTCCTAAATCTGCCATCAAATACATGTAGGAATCTAAATCTAAATCTAATCACCAAGCTTATTATATTCTGTACAAAAAGGAAAGAAGTCTTCCTTACAGCATCTATTTTTTTCAGTTTTCACCACTCTCTTGTGTAGCATTTCTATAACAAAGAATCATATTGTCACCACTGTGCCAGTCCAGTGAAAGAGAAATTCATTACACCTATGTCTACACACACATAGTAAATTGGATAATTGAAGATGTTTGCAGTAATTGAGTGGGTTAGTTATAATCCTTTAAGCACCTATGCACTCACAAACAATGTGTGCATTTGAGACGGGCCATCAGGGGTGGGGAGAGTTTCTCAAAGTAGACTTTAAAATGACTCTAATAAGCATAGTAAAAAGTGACACTGGGTTGACAGAAGTGACATTGAAATGACAGAAGGCCCTGAATTCTAGAATAAGAGATAGTTGGATTTCACTCACAAATGATATTGGGTTATTATAGATTGTTAAGCTGGGAAGTAATGAGATAAAAGTTATGTTTCAGGAAGATTTTTCTATTGTGGATGCTTGGCAATTGGGAGGAGAATGGGAAGGATGAGGAAACAGGAGGTAGGGGGAAGGAGGATGAAGGCCAAGGACATTCATTGGGATGCTTATTATAACAATAATTCACAATAAGGCAAAAAAAAAAAAAAAAAGCCTACTATAGACTGCATGTTTGTATCTCCCCAAAATTCAAATATTGAAACCTAATCCCCAATGTGATAGTATTAGGAGGTGGGGCCTTTGGGAGGTGATTATGTAAAGAGAGTAGAGGACTTCTGAATGGGATTAGCACTCTTATAAAGCAACCCTAGAGAGCCCCTTCATCCTTTCCACCACGTGAGAACACAGCGAGAACATAACCATTTGTGGACCAGGAAGCAAGTTCTCACCAGATATCAAATCTGCTGGTGTATGATCTTTTTTTTTTTTTTTTGAGAAGATCAACCCTGAGCTAACTGCTGCCAATCCTCCTCTTTTTGCTGAGGAAGACCGGCCCTGAGCTAAGATCCATGCCCATTTTCCTCTACTTTATATGTGGATCGCCTACCACAGCATGGTGTTCCAAGAGGTGCCATGTCCACACCCAGGATCCGAACTGGCGAACCCTGGGATGCCGAGAAGCGGAACATGCGAACTTAACCACTGTGCCACGGGGCTGGCCCCTGTATGATCTTTTTAATGTACTGTTGTATTTGATTTGCTAGTATTTTGTTGAGGATTTTTGCATCGATGTTCATCAGAGATATTGGCCTGTAATTTTCTTTTTTCATGTTGTCTTTGTCTGGTTTAGTATAAGGATAATGTTGGCTTCATAGAATGAATTAAGAAGCTTCCCTTCCTCCTCAATTTTTGGAAGAGTGTGAAAAGAGTAGGTATTAAGTCTTCTTAGAATGTTTGGTAGAATTCACCAGGGAAGCCGTCTGGTCCTGGACTTTTATTTTTTGGGGAGGTTTTTGATCACTGTTTCAATCTCCTTACTGGTGATTGGTCTATTCAAAATCTCTATTTCTTCTTGATTCAGTTTTGGAAGGTTGTATGATTCTAAGAACTTATCCATTTTTTCTAGATTATCCAATTTGTTGGCGTATAGCTTTTCATAGTATTCTCTTATAATCTTTTGTATTTCTGAGGTGTCTGTTGTAATTTTTCCTCTTTCATTTTGAATTTTATTTGAGCCTTTTCTCTTTTTTTTTCTTGGTGGGTCTAGCTAAAGGCTTGTCTTGTGCCCTAATATGTGATCAATCCTGGAGAATATTCCATGTGCATTTGAAAAGAATATGTATTCTGCAGTTTTGGGATAGAATGTTCTGTATATATCTACTAAGTCCATCTGGTCTAATGTGTCATTTAAGGCCAATGTTTCCTCATTGATCTTCTGTTTGGAGGATCTATCCATCGGTATAAATGGAGTGTTAAAGTCCCCTGCTATTATTGTGTTACTGTCTATTTCTTCTTATATGTCTGTTAATAATTGCTTTATATATTTAGGTGCTCTTATATTGGGTGCATAGATATTTATAAATGTTATCTTGTTGGATTGTTCCCTTTATTGTTATGTGGTACCCTTCTTTGTTTCTTGTTACAGTTTTTGTTTTAAAGTCTATTTTGTCTGATATAAGTATTGCTACCCCAGCTTTCTCTTCATTGCCATTTGCATGGAGTATCTTTTTCCATCCCTTCACTTTCAGTTTGTGAGTGTCTTTAGGTCTGAAGTGTGTCTCTTGTATGCAGCATATATATGGGTCATGTTTTTTTATCCAATCAGCCATGCTACACCTTTTGATTGGGGCATTTAGTCCATTGACATTTAAAGTAGCTA